TCATAAATGCATTAAATGTGACAGATCTTACATTACTGTCATGATCTTAGAGAGTAGTCATTGCTCAGCTGGCTTCAGGGATTTCATTCTGCGTCTTACATAAACTTTTGAAAAGCAACCCAAGTGCCCAGTTTTCTAAAGTGCAAAATATCTTAGGATAAGCACCTATTAACAGCTGGCTGTGAAGGGAGTTAGAGGCTGGCTCACAGCTCCAGTGTCTTAGAAATGCCAGGGGAACTGTGGTTTTGGAGGAGGATACTGATTAGTGACAGCTGAGCCAGCCAAATCCGAGCCTGGGGTGTGCTGGTGTTTGATTCAGCTGCAGCAGCGTGTGAGGAACTGTAAATCTGAGCTTGGTACCTGTGGGACTCTTACTCTACATGCAAACAACTAGTGGTAAGGGCAGTTTAGTAAAGGCAAGTAATTATCTGATAAACAAGTCCTTATAGAACTGCATGAAGATTACGTTGTCCCTTCTGATTTTGAAATCCTTGTCATAAATGCATTAAATGTGACAGATCTTACATTACTGTCATGATCTTAGAGAGTAGTCATTGCTCAGCTGGCTTCAGGGATTTCATTCTGCGTCTTACATAAACTTTTGAAAAGCAACCAAAGTGCCCAGTTTTCTAAAGTGCAAAATATCTTAGGATAGATAAGCACCTATTAACAGCTGGCTGTGAAGGGAGTTAGATGCCCAAAATTGTTTACAAGCTTAAGGCTCATTTGTTTTGATACTTGGCTATTTTGTTACATTGTATCGTTTCCTGATTGCTGTATTGATCCTAACATATGACCATTTAAATTATTCCTGAATACCGTTTACTGCATCTTTACATGAGCATGGTTATTCCAGTTGAATAATTTGTGAAGCATTTGAGTCAGCTAACTCAACAACACTGGAAAAATAAAGTATTGGTGGTGATGGAGAATGTCAAAGTTAGCTGGATGCACTGTGTTTGGAGCAAACAGTAAAGAATTTGTTAAATTTCATAGGTACATGCTCTCGGTCAGCAGAGACTGGTGGTGGGCAGGACTGAGATAATTATTTTACCTCCTGTTGAATTGCAGTGAGGGCCAGATGCATAACTATTACAGAGCTTTTAGAACTGCCAGGGTGTAATCCCCAGGTGTTGGGTTGTGAGGTGAGCAGGCCACCAGAAGAAGGGATGACGTTCACAGCCCAGGTAGAGGCCTGCTAGCGAGCACTGTGTCACCAAAAGCCGTGTAAGGCTAGCATTTTGCCTGCTGTGGGAGCTGATCTCACAAGATCAGAGGCCAGTCATCCCGTGATGCAGTGAAAAAGAAAAATCTTGCATTACTTTTTGCCATACTGTAGCTGTGAATGAAAAGAAAACTTGAGCCTTTAGAACTGGCAATAACACCGCTTTTATTAAGTTTCTATTGAAGGACTATTTTGAGTAAGATAAATTGATGGGCTGAACACAATAACCTTCGGTATCTCACTTTCAAATACTTAGTAGGCAAGCACTACTGAATAAGAGAAGAAATTAAGCTAAGATGTAGAAAAAGAGGTTACTAGACAACATCACAGTGTTTGTAAAGAGGAGAAGGAAGGGTCAGGAATTTAATGAATTTCGATTATAGAATTTTCTATAAGTAAGTCATTGCATGAATAGGGAAATCCTAAACCAGATTTTGGTGTCATACTCTAATAGAGGTTGCCTAAAGCAAAACAGGGTTTGTTTGGAAATAAACTGCAGAGAATGGGAAAGGCATAGCTGCTGTGTATGAACAAAATCGGCCTCCCCAGAGGCAGGCAGTGCTGGTCATAGCTCAAGCAGAGATGACCTGAACAGGGTATGTGGTACTGATGGAAGTTGGTGTTCATTTTTTGTGTTGACTGGAGTAAATATACTTGGAAGTATGGAAATGTTGATTTGCAGACCCTCTTGTTTACTGTGCGACATACTGTTAAAAAAGTTTCATCTTACCTTCAGTAATTGAAAGACACCAAGTACAAAAGCACTATGGACTGTAATTACAGTTCTGCCCAGCTTGCCAGTGTGATTTGAATGGGTAAATGAATTCTCCTCTGTAATAATAACCTTATTAATTTTTGACCCTCGCAGAGAAGGCAAATCCATTGATTGTCAGAGTTCAGGTTTTTGCAGTGGGTTTCTGTACTGCTCACCAGTTGTACGGCTCAATGAATTGTACCTGGAGCTTTGGGTGGAATGGGAGGTGCAATACCAAAACCATAAAAGTTAGCTACCAAACTGCTCCTTCCCATCCAGACTAGGCTGCAGTAAAATCTGTTTTTAAAGAAAGACCACACTAAAGCAAACATCATCTTACAGACCCTGAATTTTGCAGGTTAATTCAGTGGAGCATGACAACCAAATGTGGTACATTTATAGTCAATACAGTTTGATTGGAAATACTTAATTATGGTACCTGGGAAAATGCAGTCTAATAAATAATATCTCCTCCGCCTCCCATGCTAAAATTTTAGCTGTTAGTAAACATTCTGCCAAATCTAAAAGACTCAGTAAAATCTTGTTATAAGTTGTCCTGGTTTCAGCTGGGAAAGAGTTAATTTTCTTTCTAGTGATTGCTAGCAATTGAAAGGAATGTCAGTAACACCTATTGTTTTTATTTGTTGCTAAGTGATGTTTACACTATTCAAGGACTTTTTTCATCTTCCATAGAAGCATAGACAGAAGGATGGAATGGTCAATGAAATGTTCTGTACCATAGACTTCACGCTCAGTATATAAATGGAGGTTGGGAATCCTCCTCACTGGTCTGGATGGTGCCAGGTGTTGAGAATGACCTGTGTCATTATTGTTGTTGTTATTTTTCCATTTCTCTTATTGTTTCTATTAAACTGTCTTTATATCAACCCATGAGGTTTTTTCCTCCCTTCCCCCCTCCGTAAAATCTTGTTATAAGTTGTCCTGGTTTCAGCTGGGAAAGAGTTAATTTTCTTTCTAGTGATTGCTAGCAATTGAAAGGAATGTCAGTAACACCTATTGTTTTTATTTGTTGCTAAGTGATGTTTACACTATTCAAGGACTTTTTTCATCTTCCATAGAAGCATAGACAGAAGGATGGAATGGTCAATGAAATGTTCTGTACCATAGACTTCACGCTCAGTATATAAATGGAGGTTGGGAATCCTCCTCACTGGTCTGGATGGTGCCAGGTGTTGAGAATGACCTGTGTCATTATTGTTGTTGTTATTTTTCCATTTCTCTTATTGTTTCTATTAAACTGTCTTTATATCAACCCATGAGGTTTTTTCCCCCCTTCCCCCCCCCCCCCCCCTTTTTTTTTTTTTTTTTTTTCTTCCTTCCCTCTTGCCCCCTTCTGGGGGTTAAACCAGGCTGGGATTAAACCACAACATAAGTGTGTTCACGTGGGATGTTTTCCATTGGAGACCAGTATGTGTCCACATGGAGTTTGATCTCTTGAACCACTATAAATTCCCCAGTGTAGAGAACTGAGTTGCTCCCTGGAGGACACTTTTGGTCTTTCTCACCTATGTAGGGAGCTGAAGTTTTCACACAGTTCAGTGTATAGTGAATACTATAGACTTATTTAGTTTACTATAATACTAAATACAGTTTAGTGAATAAATATATACTTCAAAAGTCTGTATTTTCTTAGAATTTGTGCTTTATTTTCTATTACTGATTACACATCTCATTACAACTATGAAGATTTAAGAAAAATAGATTCACAGTGATGTGTGCTAGTTCTGTGATTTTCTTTTCATTCATGATGGACAGCAACACTAATAAACCCTGTTTAATTTTCTTTTTACTTTCAGGCACTGATTTTTGAATGTCTGTTGTGCCAGTTTGTCCCAATAAGTCTTAGAACATCATTATTTTGGGTGGTTTAAAATACCTAGAGCTTGGTTTCACTGCTGTGATGATTTGAGACATAAGTGGACTATTATTCTGACATAACTTCTAAATACCTCAAAATTTCTAGGTGAAGCTAAGCTCTAACCATGATTAAAGTGGCACATAAGTGGAATGGGTTGATGTTTTGTGAAGCTGGGATGAGGTTTTCTGTGGTGTTAATCCAGATGCTGTGCTATTCAAATGTTAAGTTGATCAAATCAAATTATGGTAACTCTGCAGAGAAATAATTGCTATTCCAAAGTAGACAATGGGTTGCCTCTTGTATTTTAAGTTATTATCTAGTAATTTAGAACTTCTAACCACTAAGTATGCATAAAACACTTCTCTTCCCTATTATTTTTCTCTATTCTGCTTAAATTTAAAAACCCAAACTCACAGAACTAAACTTCTATGATGGGTGACATATAGTTGATAATGAACAAATGAAGCTTGCAAATAACCCATCAAACTAAATTTCTAACGTTATTGGCTATAGAAAGAAAATATTTTATCTATGGTTGCTTAGTGCTCTACCACATTAGTTCCTGACTTTATAGATTTTTGGGAAGATGAGTTTAGGATTTTGTATGAGACTAAGAAGTTGTCTTTAGACTCAGTTCTGCAATTTGCAGGCTTCATCAAAGGATTCCTGAATGTACCTGATTGTGTGTAAACAAATATTATTGCAGAATCTGTTGGAGTGCCTGTGCCCTTGAACAAAATCAGATGCTGAGCTGCTCAGCTCAAGTGAGAGCCTGCTACCTGCCCACCTGAGAGACATGTTATTTAATGGCGCGTGTACCTGTTCATGTATAAGGCAGATGATGCAAAAAAGTCCAAAGTCTCTCGAATTCATTTTTTCCAATGTTTATATTAACTTTAGTAGGAGAAACTAACCATATATTGTGCTTTTTTTATTTTAATTTTCCTTCCTTCACAGGTATTTGAGAAGCACTGGGGTCCCTTGTGGATTTTTGACAGTGTTGCGTTACAGAGTCATTTCTTTGAGCACGATGTGTATAAATGGATGTGTATGTGTGTGCATATGTAGAAATAGATCTGAAATAATAGATGTGAGGGTTTTAACCTTGTAACTGTTACAAGATCTTTATGTGTCTGCTTTAGGGTCGACCCTATCCCATATGACACTCCAAAACCAGCGGGCCACACGCGATTTGTCTGCGTCTCAGACACACACTCCAGAACAGATGGCATCCAGATGCCTTATGGGGACATCCTTCTCCACACGGGCGATTTCACCGAACTGGGACTGCCCTCAGAGGTTAAGAAGTTTAATGACTGGTTAGGTAAGGAATTACTGCGTTTTGGTGACCCCAATTAACCTCTCCTGTCCAAGTGTCAGTCACTGCCTCCTAATTGAATTAGAGCACTTGAAAATCCCCCCCTACCCTTGCTTCACTTGTCCTCATGTGATGTGCTGTTTCTAGCCTTGGTATGATTCTGTTAATTAAGACAAATTTAGAGACTTCGCTGTATTTCTGCGTTATCTCGGGGGAGAAGATTCTGTCATTCCACGTCAAGGACTGTGTAGCCTTCTCTGTGCCTTGGGAGGGTGGTGGCACCACATACGGATGCATACAGTGTCCTGTTAGTTGTGGAGTTTTATGTCCACAGCCAAAACTATTGCTCACTGTATTTTGGGGTTACTGTAAGTGAAAGCAGTGCTGAAATCTACAAGATATTTGGAAATGATGGAAGTCCTTATTCCCACAATAGAGGATGACAAAATCAATAATACTGTTTGGAAGGGGAGAATTTTTGGGGGGTGGTACTCACGTGATTGCCCCTTTGAGTTAGAGTACTGGCATTTTAACTTTGAAGGCAGGCGCTCAATGCCTCTGGTAGAATGCTTTTCATATTCTGCTGTATTTGATAGCAGTGCCTTGATAGTGTGTTGCTGTGATTGAGGACAATTAAATTGCGACAGCAGAATACCGAAAATGAGGGGGTGCTTTTGCAGGGTGCTCCTGTTATAATTGCCACTGGTAGGCTGGCTGTGTACTGACATCTCACCAGCTCACTCAAGCAACTGATCTTCAAGAAATGCTAGAATGAGTTTACAGTATGTTATAAAAACCTTTGAAAGCACAACTTTGTCATGGTGCTTTACCTCCATGACTGCACTCTCTCTTCGCTTGCCTGCTGTATGATGCCACATCTCTACATGCCTTTAATAGCATCTTTTTATTCCATTGGAGTTCCTTGGCTGACCCTTCAAGAGATAAGTAGAGAACATTTGGATTTATATAAGGAATTTTAAAATAGAAGACCTTCTACATTCTCCATCTTTTCACCCTCCTTTGCATTTTCTCCATACTGTTCTTTTTATCTTCCTGCTGACCTCCACTTTTCCTTCTTTTTATTGCTGTGCATGTGGGATTGGGGCTTCCAGCTACTGCCACATATTACTGTAATTTAGTTTTATAATTCTTACTTCTAGAAAGCAGTACTGGATTTTATGGGCTCAAAGCTATGCTTTTTCTAGGAATATAATTGCAGGATGGGGAAGTAAGAAGTGCTACGAGAAGTAGGTGAATATATACATGGGTTGAGGGAAGAGGCACAGTAGGAGTCATCTTCCTCAACTTTTTGTGTATTCTTTATGATAACTTGTAAGTGTTGGTGGTGTGAAGTAGGAGGAGGAGCAGCAGGCAAGGTAAGGGCAGTGGGAGGCTGCACAGCTTCCCTGGGAGTGAGTGATGTGGTCCCACCAAGCTCCAGTCCTCATAGAGAAGCTGGGCAGCGCTGCTGTTCAGTGAGACTCGGCTGTTAGAGATGCCAGGCAAAGGAATCGCTTTCTGGAGAGCGCAGACCTCCAAAGTCTACCCGGAATATACTGCTAAAAGCAGCATCTGGTTGCCAAAGTTCCTCTTTGGTCATTTCACAAGTATTGTTTTGATACAGTCAGAGACCATGCCCAGTGCTTGGCATCTGAAAACGCTAACTCAGAACTGCTGGAAGCCAAAGCAAGTAAGCTGCTGGTGTGTTTTTAGCCTTTCACAGGGAATCTTACAGATCAGCAGCCACTTGGCCATTCCTTGTATTTAACAGGTGTTTCATGGTGATGTTATTTCATCACATCCATCCTTGGTTTAACGTTTGCAGCAGCAGAATTGTAACACTGAATAGGTTTTGTTCCAGCCTCAATATTTTATCATGGGCCTTAGCATATATATATACACAGACACACACATATAAATATATACATATATATATAGTTCTTGTAGAATTCTGTATGGTATTTATCTGAGAAAGCAGATTTTGCATTCTTTGGCAGTCAGTGTCATTGAAACTGGCAGCTTTCACTGTGTGAGGACCTACTGGCTTTGGCCTCAGGCTTTCATGTTTCAGACACAGAGAAAAACTTCTTTTCTTATTTACCCCTTTTTTTTTTTTTTTTTTTTTTTTTTAAAACAGGCAGAGAGTTCTTATGTATGACAATACCGGTTACTAGGTTTCTGGCATAAGGTGAGGCAGCAAATGGATTCCCCTGTGGAATCCTGTCGTGTTGGTGAATAGTTGCCCCGGTGCTGTCCTCTCCTCATCTGGAATGAAAACACTTTGCAGTCAGGAATGTCCTTTTGCCACTTTATTTCAGGCTCCTATCTGCAAAATAGGAATAATCACATTTTACTACTTACTATGTATATTGTGAAGATTAATACTGTCACGGTTGTGATGTGATGACATGTAATCGTATAAAAAACACATACCAGTGGCAGGCAGGAAGAAGCAGGATTCCTTTTTCTTCTGCTGTATAGTGGGAGGCATCTTTTTTCATCATAGTTGGTAGGAACCTTATTGTAAAGCAATGCACTGAGAACTCCCACCAAATACAGTATTGTCCTTATAGATAGGGGGTTTCATGTCTTTTGTGTGCGTGGCTTCTCTCTTGGCAGTTGTGCTGTAAAGCAGGAATGAAGACAAGGCATCTGTATCGTTTTTATCTTGAGGGAGAGAAGCAAGATCGCAGCTAGGCTTCATTCCCACCCACTCTGCAGTAAAACAACAGGGTCTCATCTCCACTAGAATTGTATCAGGGGGTAGCTAAGACACAATCACTATCCATAATTTTCTTGGCAGCAAAGCCAAGGGAAAAGTTAAAAGATGATTATTCGGAAGCCCTGCCTTGCTTGTACTTCACTGGCTGTTCCGTATGCCAGTTACACAGGGCTGAGAGTGCTTCTGTCAACCCTGCCACTTTGTCTTTTGTGGGTCTTGCATCTCTTTGCAACTCTTCAGGTATCTCACCTGAGCGATGCATTCAGCATCTTGTCCATCCATCTCATTAACATTCATCCTTCCTCCTTGTCTCTGCAGCCAAATGGCAGAACACGCTTTCCACACGCTCCTTCCCGCTCGTAGCTCTCAGCCCTTCCTGCAACTTTTACTAATTCTTATGCTTTTTTTCCCCTTTGGCTGGTAAATTTTCATTATTGGTTTTGCATGAAAGTTGTCTGGGCTCATACATTGAATAACCTCTGTGGTCACTTAGTGATTACATACACTGGCTGAGGTAATTTATTCACTTTGTTTTGGTGTGAACATGTCCCTCGGGTCTTGTAACTGCTGTAATCACTTGACCTTAGTGACTGTTAAATGCTTTAAACACAGTTATTTTAAATTTATAATTGTTTTCATTAAAAATCTGTTATAGTAACTTAACTGACCTTGCAGTAAACACAGCATTAGGTAGTGAGGAAGAATTAAAACGTTATTCTATGCCCAATATATTTCTTACTGAATGTTTCAACATACTGCTGTTATCACTGTTCATATTTTTCCCATCCATTCTCATTCAGTCATATATGGGAAATGAAATACAGGAATATCTAATTATAGCTCTGTCTTCATAATGCAGTATTTCCTCTCCTGCGTGATGGGAAGTGATTGAATAACTCATAAGAACTGAAGAGAAAAGCAAAGATAAATTCAGGCAGATAGATCTTTAATGAGTGATGATATGTTTATTGTGCTCAATTAGTATGGGCCTGATTGAGCCTATCCTTACTTCTGTGAATAATTTGCATCTGGTTTAGTAATTTTTCTCAAATTGCCAGTTTTGTTCTTTAGGCTTTTTCTTTAGTGGTTGTCTCTTTATTATGGCCTATGTTCTGTTTTGGAGGGGAGGCGTCTGGTTTTTATTTTCTTCATGCTTATTTCTAATGTATGGCTTATTACTTGACAAATTAGGCAAAATTCTACAGTGGTAGATGTGGATAGATCCATTAGGTGAAATCACTGCTGGTTATTGTCTGCAGAGCTGAGAATAGAATATGGCTAGGTGGTTCCTGAGTTGTTCTGGGATTTGGCAACTTGACTGTTGTATGTTTTTTCTTTCATGTCTTGCTTTTATTTTGAATGCATGTTTCTTTTAATTTCTGTGGGATAATGACTTGAGGAGCTGTGTGAACAGTGGCCAAATCTATATGGGTTAGTACTGAAACAAATTTTTCTTTACCTGGAATATATCCTTGCCTTTAGTATAAACAATGTTGATAGAGGTAAAAGAAAAATTCAGCTTTTTTTCTGTATGGTAGTTCCTCTGTCGTGTTAAAGTGAGAAGAAAAGAATGATTATACTGTTTTAATGTGGTGATTTTCTTGTTACACTCTGCACATGTGGATCTGGTACTCAGAAACATATCTTCAGATCTTTTAAAGTTCATTTTTGTGTCAATGTGTAGTTATTGAAAGCTTGGAATTGCTGGCTGTTGGATGGAATAGATGACAGCATGGGAAGAGCACTGGAAATGTGATGTTGCTCCCAGAGGTATGGACAGACACTTGGTTCCAGTCTGCACTTAGATTTCACTTCATCAGTACTGTAGAAACCTGAAATTATATTCAAAACTGTAAGCCAGACACCTGCCAAAACAGTGGTCTTGAAGCTAGTATAATTTAATCTGAAAAAAAAAAACCCAAACCAAAATAGTATAATAGTAAGATCAAGCTCTTACCACTGTTTAAAAATTCAGGGTCACATTCCTCTTGCATCCTTTCTCAGTCTCTCTGGTCTGGCCCAGTTATTTCCTCATTTTATCTAGGCTTCATCTTGTCTCCAGGCGTATTTCTTTTAGGGGTTTGTGTGACTGTGTTCCTCTTGCTAATGTACACTGAAAGCACTTTCATTATGACAAAGTATTAGGTCTTGAGAACTTTAGCTCCTTAAAAGTATATTTCTGATGTGAATTATTTTAGCATCTAACATGACATTTTTTTATAAAAACAAACCAGTAAGCTCTAAATTTCTCCAAATTCAGAGGGATATTAGCTCAAAGTATTCT